ACTTTGGTGTCTACCTGTCAGACAACTGAAGCATGAGAGACAGAGCCACAAAAAGGCTGTTCTTTGGCAGTGTAGGTCCCTAAACACATTCTGAAGCAACAGGACTGCAGATTTTTGCCTTGCACTTTGCAGAGCAGCGCCCCATGCAGTGCTGCAGTGCTGTGGTGTAAAGGGTGATAACTGCGGCTTCTGCATCTTTCACTACAGCATAGGCTGTGGGTTTGGGCTTTGTAAATGCAGGGCAGGATGCCTTCCTTCCCGGCATGGATGCATCCTACCCAGGGCTGTCTTTGGGTAAATACTTCAGTCCAGCTACCTGAACCTGTTGTGATGTTAAGAATAAAGCTTGTATTTCAAATAAAGTTGCAGGAAAGGGGTCAGAACAGGGATCAAATCTAGCCCATATTGGTAGTAAGACAACCAGATTTTAAGCGTGGTGTTTTCCTCTTAAATGCTGAAAATATACCTGTGACTTGTCTTTGTCAGACTCCAAAATGTAGAATAAGATACATAGATGAGATAAATGTAAGCTAATGATCCAAGCAGCTTTTATGATCCAGTTGTTCTCACTCCTTGGCAAGGAGGAACAGTCTCTTTCTTGATTGTTATGTGCTCTAGACGTTTCTTCCTTCCTAATATAAACGGCTATCCCCAGCCCTGGGCTTTGTCACTGCGAGGGATGCAAGTGCTGATTTCCCCCAGACAGTCCTTAGCCAGCTCGCTGCAAATCCCTGCCGATGGGGCAGGAGAGAAGGAGGGGTTTGCCCTTCCTAGCAACCTTCACACAGGTTGTATGCATCCTGCCAGAGCAGAGTGTGCTGCACACTGAGCTTATCTTGTGCTTTTTCTCTGTCAGAGATTGCTTTTGGTTATTGGCTGCCTGAGTGATGCGAGCCCTAGAGAGCCCTGGCCCTGGGAGCAGAACGACGTGATCCAAGGAGCCATCCAGCTCATTCACTCACTCCTAGCAGGGAAGTTCATGACTGCCCAATGCAGAGGGACATTTCTGGCACGTCTCAGCCGAGAGCTTGCCGGCACTGGTAATAGAGCATGGCTGTCTCATTTGTAGGCTCTATTCACCTGACAGCTAAGAATTATCAGTACTGATGCTTCAGTCTCTTTCTCTTCCTCTGCAAGCGAGTGATTTGTCTATGTTATGGGTAGGTAAGCTTGACAAAACATTACACATTAGCAGCTGAGACAGTGTTTGAAATGGGAAAATTGCTAGCAAACTGCACCATTAGAGACCCAAATAACAAATTCTTTCTTTCCCTCAATGAAAGAGAGATAGTTAAGGTCCAAATTAATTTGTCTGTCTCCCCACTCTGCAGGGGGAATCACTTTTCAAGACAAATGGCTTCTTCACTCCTGAGAGGAAGCTGCCTCTATTAAGGCTGCATTAAGCAGAGTTTAGTCCTCTGTGTTTTGGCATGCTGGGTGTGAGCAGTACAGTCACTAGATGAGGAGGTGATGAAAAGGTTTGTACCTCAGTGATCTTCAGGATGTATTAGCATGGGAATTTGAGTGCTTATTCTTTACTCTAGGATAGTCTTTCAGATTTAACTGCATAGTTTCCCCCTATATGTTTTACTATTTTGTTTTTCCAAGAAGTTTACTTTTTGCTCTCATTGCTGCAAAGTCATTTCAAGAGAGTGGGAAGGAGGATGACTTTGTCCTGTCTAGCATCACATTGTTACAAGAAAAATGCGTCTGGATCCATTGGGCCCTCATATGTTCCAATCTCTAATAATATGTGAGAGTAGAGAAAGGAAATTGTTCTTGTCCTTTGATGTTGTCAAAGACTGAAATAAAGCTTCAAGAGGCAGGCAGCATTGCTGTGTGTCACAAGGGGGGAGATAGGCTTCGGTTCATCTGAGTGATACAGCAGGCACAGTGAAATGGGTAACCGAAAGGAGGAGCAAAAGCACTTGAGAGGTTTGGACGTGGCCAGTGGATTTCATCCATTTTGTGCATTGTATTTATCTATCTTTTAAATAGATCTTATTATGAAATACCAGAGGAGGATTTTATCGAGTTATAATAAATGTTGACTGTGATGGTTCAAACGATCAAAATTTAGCCTTTCAGAGCTGTGTCTCTTGTACTCAGGTGTGTTTTACATTTCTTTTATAGTGTGTTCTGGTGATACACAAGAAAATGAACTCACTGATACTGCTTTGCACAGGCACAGGTGGGTTTATAGCATATGACAGCACTTCAGAGTATGCAGGGCTAGACCATGAAATACAGTTTTCCAGGGGTCATATTCTAGGTAAATGAGGTAATTTTCTCTGAAATAAAAGGTGGCTGTAAAAGTTAGATTAGCTTTTCACTAAAAAAATCACATTACTAGGTAAGAACTGTTTTTCACTTGATTTGAAAGATGACACCTCTAGCAGCAGTTTCCCATTATGTTGTGAATAACACTGGTTAATAATTAAGCCTTCATCACCTTGAAATTGCCAGCACCCCTTCTGGCAAAAGCTAGTGTTTCCTAGGGATATTTAAGCCTGTCTTTCAGATGTCATTTATGAGCCCAGATGAAGTGAAAGCACAAGGTATTAATACAAATAGTTTGGTTTCTACTGTCTCGGTTGTGTAACTGCGTTGTGGTTTTCAGCCAATGCCTGCCAATCTATAACATGCATTTATGGGTCAGATAAGTACTTCATACTTTTAAAATACCTGATAATTTAATGTTGCACTTTATCTAATGCTCCAAGACCAACTCGTTTGTGCCCAAGCTGGAATCCACCTGCAAACACACCTGATGAGGGCACACAGTACTGCTTGTTGCATCTCTGGTAGCATCTGCAAGATGCAGTGTGCTGAGCATAATGCGTTAAGTGTAGTGTTTATTCCTTCATTTACAGATAGCTTCCGTAAGGAAATGTGAGGTGCTAAGGTGAAAATACAGTAGCAGATGACAACAGCCTTGTCCATCTATTCCTGTACAGGCCATCTGCTGCAAATTGTAGAGGAATGGGTGAAGAATACAGTTCCTCCTCAGAAGGTGGCTTTCTGAAACAACTCTTCCTGTATTCCTCTCCACCTGCTCTAGAAAGTTCATTTTTTCTTATTACTCAGGATCTGTGGTATTCCAGTTTTGGTTGCTTTTGCCTTTGAGTCACTAAAATATCCTTGGAATTCTCATCGATTACAGAGAAGGGGCCGTGTTTCCTGCCTGCCACTGGAGCTGACTTTCCCTGTAAGAACTGCTGTGCTGTGTCCATGTGCAGTTTGTGTGAACCCCCAGCTTCCATCCCAAGTAAAGGGAATTGGACAGGCATGGCCCTTCTTTGTTCCTAGAAGTCTCTACATAGAAATACTTAGGAAGAGTTAAACACCAAACTGGCAAGCTGACAAAAAGCCTTTATGGGAAGAGTATGTGTACTGCTAATTCTGGTGACAAACACTCAATAGTAGTGTGCTGAAGCTTACAGCAATTTGCATGTCACTGTGGACTTGCCAGAAAAGAAGCATGTTATATTTAGACCAACTGGAAGGGAAATCTCGGGCACTAATTCAAATCACAAAACAAGGAATAGAATTAACTCTGGTCACAACCTTTAAAATAGAATGCTACAGAAATAAAAGAGTGTGTGCACACTGACTGCACAAGTTGACTGTGCAAGTGTCATGATATTCAGGACTTTAATGGCTTCCTGGAGTATAACTGAGCTGGCAAAATCTCTTATTTTCAAGGGCATTCCTCTTTTGTCTATTGAAAGCACACATCAACAGGAGAGGCTGTGCAATAGGGGGTTGATGGGCCTTACACATTTTCTCTACGTTATTCCCAGTTCCTTTAAAACCCATGGTTTACTTCTGCCTGCATCTCATTTTATCTCTGTTCTTGGCTTTAAAATTTCTTCTCCCCTCTGCATTGCTGCTGCAGCTCTAACTGACTGGAGTGATTCATTCTATCATTCTAGTATGTTGTTGTGTTTCAATTCTGAACCATTTCCAACCACAGATTTTTTTGCTATTTAAACTGTTTCTTTTTATGACATCTTTGGGAAAAATACATAATGTTTGAATAGTAACTAAGAGCCAGGTAAAATCCAATTTTGCTCTCAGTTCCAACTCCGATTGTGGAATTCTAGCTGCCAGGGTTATTTGACTTCATTGTATGGGGATCCAGTTTTACATTTCTAATTGAGATGATTGTTTTGGGTTCATCTGAGGTAAACATAGTCCTTTTAGCAGGAATTTGGGGAACTTGCTGACAAAGACTTGAAAATACTTTTGGGAAGGAGTAGAAATTAATCTTAGTGGCTACTGTATGTGCTAGCTTAAAGCTGCTATGTTTTATGTTAGTGGTGCATGCATTTATGATACTTCATAAAGAAGACTTTCAAAACAAAGCTCAGAAATGAAAGCAGCAGCATTTTAATGTAGTCTGGACCATATTTTAGAGCACCCTCAGTATTTGGTAGTTAAAATAGGAAGATACAGTCCTTTTTGCTCCGCTTTAACATACACTTTTCCCCCCTCCCTAAAAATCTGGATTCTTGTATCAGGGATTTCTGCTTTATTTTTCAGCATATTCCCACAGATTTTGCTCCTGAGTTGCTCTGATAGTATTATTAAGCTACTTATTAAGCTCTCACAATATAGCATAGCTTTTAGTTGAGATAACTGAGTTCTATTTACAACAGCTAGTCAAGGAAGACATCTGCATTTGCTACCTTAACTTTGATTAAGTAGTAATAAAATACACCTACTATTTTTTATTAACTCCATGAGCTTTAAAGGTGCAATGTCTATAGCCTGTGTCTGTTTTCTGGACAGATTTTGTGTAATCAATGAGATTATTTTATTTTCAAAGTTATTTTCTCAGTATTTTCTCCATTTAGTGACTTTCAAAAGAAAAGGCTGTTTCTTATTAAAACGCTATAAAATTGGTTTATATTTATATAAAAATTTCTATCATGTTTAATGTCATTCCTGTCCTATAATTGTGTAGTTAACATGTATATTACTTTGTTTGTTTTCAGACGTTTGGAACAAAACCTCATCAAAATCATTCCCCCTGGAGCTTTTACCCAGTACAAGAAGCTAAAGAGAATGTAAGTTTTAATAAGACCAGCATGCAAGAGCAATCGTGAATCTTCTTGCTTCAAGTTCAGTATCTTTATTTTAGAAACATATTGGCAATTTCTATGTTGAAATCACCGGGGATTGCACAAATAATCTCTTCCAAGTGTAAGCAACAATGGAATTTGGTTCAGGATGCCTAACAGTGCATGAAAGCCTTAATAATGCTTAATTTCATTTCCCATTATAAATGATGTGAGCTAATTAGCTGTTAGTCTGTTCAAACTTCAAATCTGCTTCCTCAGAAAAGACTTTAAGTTCTATTTATTTCCTCATTCATTCTGGTTTCTGCACCACTTCAGTTTAGCTGACCCCAGTTACAGCAGGAGTGCCTGTTCTTTCAGAGTAGTTAAGGTTTTTTATAGTGCATTTGATACCTTGATGTTGAAATGGTTTGGCTGTTTAGAAGGAAACAAAGACACTTGCTGGAGCCTGTTTTCTCTGTTTCTGAATCAGCAGTAGAGACCCAGACAATTCTTTTGTCATTAGCTCTCGTGTTTTCTCTTTGGATTTAAATAAAACAATCCTGATTTGTAGCAGTGCTCTCATGCAGATAACCTGGGCATTCCCCCTGTAGGCCTTTCTTTTCAGTTTTAAGTGATACCTGAGAGATGTTGTGACAGTAGTACAGTAATGCAGACAGTGGTAAAGCAAGTTACTCCCACTTCACCAGAGTATCAAGTCAATGATGGGTACCACTGGACCAGTAGTTTCCAGAAGTCATTCAGGCTTTGTTAGCTCAGTTTTAGCTCAGACTGCTAAAAGGGTGCCATTACAGTTCTTGTTTTCTGATGTAATCAATACTTACTCTATTTAAGAAACTGTCAGCTTAGTTCACAGAAGACCCTATCTAGTCTATGATTCTGTGTTTATCAGGTAGCTAATCCTTTTGGAAACTGACAGGATCTTGCGCTGTACTTTTGGATTTAAGGGTAAAATTACTGTGTTTGCCAGTCCAAACTTACCAAGTTCCTAGAGCTGGAGAGCTGTAAATATAGATCTTAATATTTAACAGGCCAAATCATCAATCTTACAGAGTCTCTATTCTTCTGTCTCGCTTTCAATATAGCTGTATGTATTTTTAAAGAAGTACTGTATTAGATAGCAAGACAGTAATTTCAGTGAAAAATGATGGATCCCTTTTCAGTGACCTAACTTGCAACTTTTTCATTATTGAAGTCTCTACTTAGTTCTTTCTGAGGTATGACTAATTTTAGATTTTGGCAATGTTTTACCATCCTTTCATTTTTCATGATTGGTGAACTCTGGTTTTATGGGAATTGACAAAAAATGTTCTTTAACTTGACTGGCTGCTAAGCCCAATGCAGCGCTTACTGTGTGGAATGATTAATGTTAGAATTTCACAGCAGAATTCCATTAGCAAGTTGTGTTAACAGCTTTCTGGAGTACAGTTGTCTACTCATTGAGATCTGAACTTGAAATTAAGCAATAAGTTATTGTGCCAGATGATCTGTATCAAAGCTTAGTTAATATGACAGCATTTTGGGGAAGAACTTGGGATAGATACCTAGGCTGCAGAATGTCCCATAACAAACGTGATGCTTTGCCATTTGACTATTGACCTGTCTCCTTGTTAAAGTTTCATTCCTGCTGGACAGTGAAGCTCTAAATGAACATCACTCTTGTTCTATAAAGTTTAATTAAGGTCATTTATTTCACTATTTGAAGAGACTACTGACATCCTCTTTACAGCGTGCAAGATTCCTTGTGGTTTTAACACAGACATATACTTCAGTCAGAAAAGCACCTCTTCAAGCAAGAGAGTTATCCTTCCTTGTCCTTACAGAGGAAGGACATGTTTGGAATCACTGAAGTTGTCAGCCTTTTTTCATTTCTGTCACTTTGATTTCAATGAGCAGTGCAATAGCATGAGGAGTATTGATTGAATTTACTGATGCCCTACCCAGGGTACAAGTGAGGGACATTATTTTTGTTGTTGCTATTAACTATTACATATAATAATATTTTAATAGAATTTAGAGGATAGTACTGGGGATTGTAATGTATTTTTCTCCTTCCAGTGAATAAATATGCAAGAATGCTAGGGATAATGGACTGCTCACTTGCAGCACTCTCAGTATTTTGATACTGAGTATTTCCTGCAAGATTATGCAGTTTTCTGTGCTTAAATAATTGGATAACTGAGAATAATGTTTAGGTAAGAGCCGCTTGTCCAAGATTATCTTTGTATGACTTAATAGGTCAAGATGGTAGCAGAAGGTGTATTTATATTAATTCGAGTGTTGCATTTGCATCTAGCTGAATTTGCTGTTTAGACTGTCTCTTCAGTAGCTTCCAGGGTGAAAAAGTTATTTTGGGGATTGGGTTTTAGCAAAGGAGCTGAAATCTTTTGTGTATTGGATTTCATCATGATTGCCCACATCTTCTCACACAATTAATTACATGAAATTTAATGAATCTGTCTCAGCAGGAACATTTGACGCCTATAGGATTTAAATATGCAGTTGAATTACATCATCTGGGATGATGGTTCCCCTGATTTGGGGGTGAATGTAGCAGGTCCTAGCTCTGTGCTCAGTTGTTCAAGGGCTTCAGAAGTTTGAGGGGCTTGAGGGAGATACATCCCAGCCCCGGAGACAGAAGTTGTCATTATGGCATGGAGTATCCAAGCCCAGACATGCCATTTTGAATTAATTTACTGCCCTGGGTTCAGCAGTAGCAGTCATTTTTCTCCTTCTTAGTAGCTGATGCAGTGCTGTGTTTTTGGCTTTCGGCCTGGGAACAGCACTGATAACACCGATGTTTTTAGTTGTTGCTCAGTAATGTTTATTCTGACCAAGGACTTTGTGAGTCTCATGCTCTGCCAGGGAGGAGGAGAAGCTGGGAGGAAGCAGAGACAGGACACCTGACCCAAACTAGCCAAGGAGGTATTCCATACCACAGCACGTCATGCCCGCTATGTAGAACTGGGGGCAGTTACCCAGAAGGGCTAGATCACTGCTCAGTCGGGCTGGGTATTGGTCAGTCGGTGGTGAGCGGTTGTATTCTCTTCCCTTGTTATTTCCTTTATCATTATTATTATTGGTGGTAGCAGCAGTGATTTGTGTTATACCTTAGTTACTGGACTGCTCTTATCTCAACCCGTGGGAGTTACATTCTTTCGATCCTCCTCCACATCCCTTCTAGAGTGAGGGGAGGAAGGGGTGGGGGGAATGAGCAAACAGCTGCGTGGTTTCTGAGTGACAGGCTGGGCTTAAACCACGACATTTATATAGCAGCTGTGCTTGTACCATAGTACTGTAACTTCTAACCTAAGAGTTCCAAAGTTTATGTCATCACCTCTCATTTTGTCTTTGCTTTTTTGAGGCTTTTAACTAGCAGGTTTGTAACATGAGACTAAGAGCCAAGTAAATAGAGCCAATTTGAAAGAAGTGGTTGTACCTCTTCAGCTGTGATGCTTGTAGGCATTTCATGTTGTCAGATTAATTTAACCATATATTAGCAGAAAATACATTCAGATTTCACAGTCTTCTCAGTAGCTCTGTGGCATTGCTACTTTTGTTAAGCAGCTCCTAAAACCTAAACCACAATTGACACGGAATTTTGCTGAGTACTCTTATCAAATGAGAACAGCCCATTTTACATGTTAGAGATAATCAAGTAATCTGTTCTAATATGTTAATCAACAAAAAGAATATTTATCCAATAGTTTTCCATTTGGCTGCATCTAAAAATGAATCTGTTCTGCTTCACAAACAGAACAGATATATTCTGTTTACCTTTTACAGTAAAGACATTTAAGCCAAACAGTCATATGTTATACAGTGACTCACAGGGTACCCCTTCTCCCCTGGTGCAAAGTCAAAACCAATTTATGTCCCTAAGTGGGAACTGAACATAGCCACCCTCCAAGGTGTGTTCAACAGCCTTTTGGAAGATCTCTACTGTGCTGTCAGAGGTGCAGGGAGACTAGAATGAGGTGACTAATGTTTTCCCTGCCTGGGTGGAATCCTGATAAGTTTATTACATTTCCAGCCCAAGAGCCACATTTCTGCTGAGCGATTCAGAGATATCCTAAAGCGTGAAGATGAGCCGTATGTGATCTAAATTGACTTAGTTGTGCAGGTTAGAAAAACCTGTATCTCTTTCTCTTGATGTAAATCAAGCACAGAATAGGATGATCTTACCAAAGCAGACCCAAAGAAGAAAACAAAAGTACAAGGACTTAATTGACTCCCTTTGCCTCAGTCAAGTCTGAAGGAGATGGAGCCTCCTTATCCAACAGCAGTGGAGCTTGGGCTCTAATGGAAAGGAAATAATGTGTCTAATTATCTTCTAATGCTGATTGTAGTACATCTGCATGAAGTGAGTGTCATCACCCAGCATGGCATTTATGCACGTTCAGGCACCATTAGTTATACACTCATTAGCATCCGGACATGGGGAGAGACAGAGGATGGGAATGTTGAAATGTAGCGAATCAAAAAACAGTGCTGAAATACTTGTTTCAAAAACGAGATGCCCTTTTTCAGATGCTTGTCATTGTTCAGCAACTCATGATTTCATGTGATTGTAATAGGTTTTACTATGTTCCTCAGTAGATAGTGTAGATTCACATCAGACTTCTGCTTACCTAAGAATTACTAGATAAAAAGCAGCAAATGCTACCAGGCACTAACCAAGTTTCACAAAACCCTGTATAAAAATAAATATTCTTACTTTAACTGTCACAAATTTGGCTGCTGTGAATTGAGCTGAAGAACCAGAAAGCTTCATTGAATGCTGTCCTTGTAAGCATGACGTTGTAATAGAAAACATCAGTAAACTGCATATAGTTGTTTCACAGGCTTTATGAAAGAAACAAACCTAATAAAAGGACTGAAGAAAATCCCACTTTATGTGGCTAAGTTTGAAAATAGTTAGAGGACTTCATAAAAATTTTAGCCAACAGTATTTGTAGCTCAAAATACATCTAGAATGGAAAACCTTCCTACTTTTGATTTCTAAGTCCTTGCTCAAGTGATGTTTATTTAGAGTCTGACTGGGATCCTTAGCACGAGCCCCATTGGAAATAACAGTGAACATGTACATGAAATACTGCATGACTGCAGCTTCAGCTGTCAGGGTAAAGGTTTGATAGTACTGGTTGGTACAAGCTGATACCAACTGTCAGTGAATGTAATGAGGTGGCTGGAAGTTATGTCTGTAGCTAAGCACCTGGTTGAACTGATTGATAGAAAGATTGGATTGCAGTGACAGTCGTAATAGGAACCATAGAATCAACAAGGTTGGAAAAGACCTTCAAGATCATCAAGTTCCCCAGCACTGCCAAGGCCAGCACTAACCCATGGCACTGAGGGCCTCATCTACATGGTGTGTGAGCACTTCCAGGGTGACTCCAGCACTGCCCTGGGCAGGCTGTTCCAATGCCTGAGCATGCTCTGGGGAAGAAATTGTTCCTCATCTCTGTCTAAACCTCCCCTGGCTGTTTCCTCTTTCCTGTCAGTTGTTAACTGGGAGGGGAGACCAGCTACTTCCTGGCTCCATCCTCCTCTCAGGTAGTTGTAGAGGCACTCAGTTCTGAGCATCTGGTCCCAAGTGTAATAAATTTGCCTCCATGTATAAGGAAATTGTGGCATAGTCTGTATTTGTCTTTGTATAGGTGGTTGGTTATAATTAAAATTGAAGGGTATTTTCCAAACCAGGAACACACTTTCCCTTGAAAATGGCAATCTCAAAGTATCTGAAAACTCTAGTGAGACCTGGCAGTGCTGTGTCAACCCTCTTCCCTCCTGCCTCACCAGATCTAGGTCATGGTAGACTTTTGTGCTGCTTGTTTTCTCTAGGCCATTAAAAACAAAACTGCTGCAGTGCCAAAGTACTCAATGGTACTGGTGCCTGCTTTGGATTTAGGGCCTGAGTAGTTTATTTCCATCCTCTTTCCTATTGCTATAAAACAGAGATGGTATGGGAAAAGGAAGTCCTACCTCAGAAGTATTTTCTCATCCTAAGACTTATTGATAATGTTTTATATAGATTGGGACTAGCTCTTAGTGGAATTTTCTAGAGTTTTGATGGGAATTTTGTTTGATAAAACTACATTTCTGGTATTTATGCTGAATATTTTCATCTTTACATATTGTTTATGACAAAGTTTCTTCTTGTAGACAGTCTTGCTGCCACAAAAGCCATTACCCTGGTGCCTACACTATGCTGATGCCATTAATCCCATCATCTTCCTTAATGCATGTCCTGCCAGTACATTTCAGCTAATTTAGAACCTTTCCTCACCTTATCTATCATTTCACTTACAATCAATATATGATCTTCTGTACTGTTATAAAGTTAGCCTTCCACTCCTACCTTTAAACGTCAGACAAACTTTATGCTTTGTCAGAGGCTGCTCCTCACACTTGAGGGCCACCCCACAGAGTCACAATGAGATCTCCATTATTAATAGCCCTTAAGATGGTTTTATCAACTTCACCATTGTTCTTCAAAGCTCTTTATAAAGCTCTTTGTCTCAGTGTCCATATAATGTAAGACCTGACTAACAGGGGAGCTGCTTATTTATTGAGGCTGTTGTACTGACTGGTTTTCTGAAAGCTCCTGCAATTCACCTATCTGTGTCCTTATGTAGTTCATCATTCCGCCAACATTCTATGATAGTTTAATTCTGGGTTTGTTTCAGGTACCTTCTTCCAATAAACTACAGCTGAAATGTTGTCATCAAAACATCAAAATCCTGTTTATGATTTGTTTTGTTTCATTCTCCCTTCTCTTTGCAGAGACATCAGCAAGAATCAAATCTCTGACATTGCGCCTGATGCATTCAAAGGCCTGAAGTCTCTCATTTCATTGTAAGTAGAAAATAGAACTGAATGGGCATTTGGGGAGAGCTCGCATGTAAGAGAAATAAAGATGATAATGGGCTGTCTCGGAGAACTTACATTTCTGTGTGCAGTTGCCAGCTTGTGTGAAGCATCTGATCTTTTACAAATGAAACTCTGGTCACAAAGGTTAGGAAGAACTGTTTACACATCTCTAGTAAGTTCTTTTGTGGATGAACACCCCAAGGTTACTGATTAGTTCACTTCTTCAAATCAGTGCATCGGTTGATACGCTGTACATGTGCACCTGCAGGCTAATCCATGGCCCCCAATTCATCATGGCACACAAAACCCTCATCATAGCTCAGACACTGTTTGGCGGTGTTCATCAGGGAGGAGTTAGGGGGAATTCTTCCTTGCTGAATTTTTCTCCTGTATTAAAGACTTGAGATTACACTTTTTTGTGAGTTTTTTGTTTATTTGGTTTTATTGGGTTTTGGGTTTGGTGTTTTTTTTCAAACTAGTGATGGAAGAACCTAAGCCCTTAAGAAAATGTTTCTATTTCTTAGCTGTAATTACTACTTTATTAAGCTGGAAGAGGACTAAAATATGACTCCATACAAAAGATAAAAGGAAGGCAGGATCTCTTGACAACCATTCCTTTCTCTTTATAGAACACAGAAACTGTTTTAGCACCAAGTTGAATTTAAATGCAGCTATATTTCAACCTAGCTACCCACAGCACTATTAAAACAGTGGAGCTTTTAATGGGTAAAAGGAGCAGTGCAAGGTCAGAAGCTGCATATGGAGAATGAAGTAGAATAGAGTGTTAGAAAGAGCCCCAGGTTAAATGAAGAGGGTAAGCTCAACTGGAATAATATTTGCCTGCATTAATAGTAAAGACAGTTTTAAAACATTTAGCTCATTAATATTCATGTAACACAGTTTTATTTTTAAGGATGTAGTTTATTTCTAAAAGCTGCTATAATTTTATTGTTTGAATACTGGAAAATTCAACCCCCCTATATAACTTGTTGACTAGTGCTAATATTAGAAGTTCATTCAGTACTACGCTTATATGTTTCAGTACACTCTGAGCCAGATTGCAGAAGGATGGGCCTTTTTTTGTGCCCTGAATCCAGCTGGGAGAATGCCAGAAATATATATTAAGTGTTGCTAGCCTTTGTTGAGTAGTCAGGGCGGTGTTATTCAACATGCTGTGGAAATGGTCAAATCCCCCAATGCTGTCTGGAAATGATTCAGTAAGAGAATGACATTTACTGAGCACTACAGTTCTGGCTTAGTATGAAACTACTGCTGATGTTGCAATGCTACAGCTTTCTGGTATTGGCAAACCTCCTGGCTGGGAGCAAGCTGGACAGGCAAGACATTTCTACTGCTTGACTTGCCAATGCAGAAGTTATTCAGCTTTAGCTGTAGCTAATTCAGATACTCCCAGGTGGCCTCAGGAGAGGGACAGAACACATCAGAGTGGACAGAGAGGAAATGAGAATATAAACTGGGTGGGAATTTATAGTGTTTTGACTTGCATACAGAAGCAACTGACATGACTCTGTATTCTCTGCCCAGTCATCCAGAATGGTATTTTAAGTAAATGATGTTTGAATATGTTTATATCCAAGTGGGTAATATAGTGCTGAAGCTAACAGTAGGAGGTTCCAAGGGGGAAAAGAGAGGGGAGAGAGATGAGATGCAGCACAAGAAGGGTATTGCCTCTGAGCAGTCTTTCCTTTGTTAAGTGTTTGCCTCAGTTTCTTCCCTCTGCAGCCACACAAAGCTGGTGTAACACACAGTCTGTTTCTCCTTTTTCTGTCGGAGAGTATTGACTCCAGCCTTGAAATTGTCAGACTCCTTCTCTAGGTTCGGTTGTCCACTGTGCGTGCCGTTGGCTTTTACTTTCTATTGAAAGGTTTTACTCTTGCTGTTCATTGCAGGTAGGTCTTACAAGTGTTTTCCCTGTGACTGATAGACAAGAGTTAGTTTATGACCTGTCACCCAGACCTCTGGCAGGTTCTTCCCTGCTGGTCACTTGTGTAGGTGTTCCAGTTTCTGAGCCCTAGATATCATCATGGAGCAAGATTATCTGCTCTTCTGCAGAAGCTGGGTTTCTCTGAAGAAACCTCCCCTAGGTTTTTACTTATGAAAAGTAGAAGATCTTCTTTCATCTGATCTCTGCTCTAACCACCAGCACAGTTCTGTCAACCTTAGACAAGTGCTAGAGAAGATGACTCCTTTGAAGTGCTAGCCCTCCCAATGAAACTGCCCAAGGGGAAAGAACAAGGAGGCAGAAATGAAGTAGGAGAGTTTGCTTACCTGTGTTTTCTCTTTTAAGCGGCTCAGTCTTTTTGGTGCCTGAGGGCCCAGTACCTTTAGTCATCTGCATGCCCTGAAGGAAGGCTGCTCTGCATACAATGCTTCAGCTCAGTGGAGAGAAACTGTTATTTTTTGTATATGTAAGTCAAATGTGACCGGTGGCATACATTTTAATGAGACACCATTGAGGTTTCATCTCTGCCAGAGCAGCTGGACATCTCAGCTAGCTGAGTTAAAATACAAAGAAAGGAGGGGAAAATGCTAATGCACAAATGGAAGTAAGCAACTTGGTTTTCATTAAAAATGAAGTACTGCTGTAGTGCCTAAAATCCATGCCTTTCCCTCCCGCATTATTCCCATTTTCTGCTCCTCCCTTTACTCCCTGCTCGCATGCAATTGCAGTGCTCCCTATGGGTCTAGGAGAGTGAAAGTGCTTCTCTGGAAGACAGCCAACATTGTTAGTCTTGCTGGCTAATGGAGCCCTATATATAGTGGGTTGCTACTCTACTTTCTTCTGGAGCGAACTTAGGGTAGTGTTTCCAGGCAGAACTGTTTCTCAGAGTGCTCTGCCTATTGTACCTATGGAGGGATGGAAGAAAAAATGGTGTATTATAGTTTTCAAAGCACAGGAATGTTTATTACAGAAGCAGTTCCCCCAAAATGTATAAAACTGAAATCTTTTAAAATAAAAACTTATGACCTGCTAGCATGGATCACTTTGCACTTTTAAAAGATTTAAGTTTTATACATTATACATCTATATATTTTCTGTAACAAGAAATCCACCTATGGGAGTCAAACAGGTCACAGAATCTTAACACTTTAAATAAGCCATTTCTACCTTAAGTTTTCTCTGCATTTAGCAAGAGAAAGGCAACCTTGTTCTTGCAAGGACTTAAGACATCTCCGTTCCTCACACTCAGGGGAAAAGAAGTTGTCTTCTCCATGAAAGAAGTTGTCTCCATCCCATTTTTCAGTGGGATCAGTGGGATTTTGTTCCCTATTCATATAATGACTGTATGGAACAAGGAACTTCTGCTTCATTTTTCTTAGAAGTATTTGGGCTTTTTGCTTTTCTCTTTTTTTTTTTTTTTTTTCCCTGAGGAACTGGAATCATTTTTCTTTAAGAGCATATTTTCTTCTTCCAGGAGTTTTCTGGCCTTTCGTTTTCCCCTTATTGTGTCACATGAAGTGACACTGTGAGTCATGGTCAGCTCTGGGGCTGTGGATTTAGTTCTGCTACAGTGTCCAAAGTTCCCTTTCAGTATTTAGGTACTAGGGCTTAGATCCTTAGCATATTTTTGGTATGAAGAAAACTTCAAACCTACTTACAGACCACACTGAAGGTATAGTAAGATCCAGGTTGGTTTTGAGTTTTAGAGAGCTTGGTGGAGAACGGAGGGTGATGTTCGCAAAAGGGTCCTTAGTGTTAAAGGTGCCGCTGTGGGATCTGGGAGGAAGAAGTTATGTTGGATAATTCTAGTGACCCTGTTGGACAAATAAACTGCTTGTCTATAGCAAAGCCTCCCCGCTTGGAAAAGCAGAAGTATTTCTCTGTCTCAAAGAGAAGATACAAGGGTGTATATGTTAAAGGCTGTGAGAGGTAGTGATAGTGCAGTACTCGGGACCATATGAAATATTGAAACTGAGAAACCTAGAATTATTTGAATCTAAAAATGACAATAGGCAGCACAGATGTGAGCCATGGTAGTGTAGCCATGGCTTTTGTGTTGGAGGGATTAGTCTTGCCATCCAATACTTCTTTCAGCATAAACATGAGAGCAAATAATTCCCTTGCTTTGAGAAGTGTGGCAGAATTGGTTGGTTGCAAAAGACGGTGTTATCTTCATTCTAAGCAAAACTTTGAGAAATGCTCTACTGCTAGTACCTGGTTGTCGTGGTTTAAGTCCAGTCAGTAATTCAGAAAAACCACACAACTGTTCACTCACTCCTCCCCTTTCCTCCCCCAGCTCCTGGAGGGGTGTGGAAGAGAATGGAAAGGATGTAACTCCCACGGGTTGAGATAAGAGAGGTCCAGTAACTAAGGTATAACACAAATCACTACTGCTACCACCAATAATAATAATGATAAGGGAAATAACAAGGGGGGAGAATACAACCGCTCACCACTCGCCAACTGATACCCAGCCCGACCGAGCAGTGATCTTGCTCTTCCGGGTAACTGCCCCCAGTTCTACATAGCGGGCATGACGTGCTGTGGTACATGTTGTACGTGGTTAGAATAGAGCTTTGCTGGAATTGGAGTGGTTAATAACTCGGCATGGAACATAGGGGCTAAGTTATGAAGAGTTTCATGTTTCAAGATTGCTGCATGCACTTTCTGAAGTAAATTAATTTTGCATTTAATCAGCTCAAAATCTGTCTAATATCAGCAAGAGAATTGTACCAGCATTTGGTTATTGTTAATAGGATCGAAGATAAATGTTATTCTTGGGGTCAGTAGACTTCCCACAAATGGAGGTTTGGAAGGCCATATCCAGACTGTCTGGGGACATTTTATGAGATATGACAAAATAGTCTAAGCCTTCAGTGTGTTAAACTAAATGAATTAAAGTTAAGACCACTGCAGAGGGAGAATTCCTCTGGTTTTGTTCATATACTGAATTAAGCTAGTGAACAGTTTAAAAGCTTAGATCAGCCTGGGCACAAAGACAAGAGACAGCTTAGATTTTGAC